GAATAAGAAGGGAAATTACGAACCCAAGAGGAACTACAAAATTTATATTTAACTGCAAATACCAAATTCTGTTAATGCAAATGCAAATGAGGCTAGCTATTAATTGTTTAAAAAATCCAACAAAATTCAAATAGCATGATATGATTTCAACTCACCACCTAGAACACCCTGATGTTCAGATCATCTTACAACTCATTCTAGAAATTTTAATAAAATGTCATCTTGTGCCATGTTGCCTAATAAATTTTCAAGCCACAAAGTTCCAAATAATTTCTTCAGAAGGAAAACACACACAAATGAACTTCCTCAGCATCAGTTATTACAGCACCTCTAAACCATGAATGGCAATGCAATGCTGAAATGTCCTCCTCTTCTCTAGATTAACATTCATTATGTATAAATATGTAAAAAATGACTCAGCTGTGGAGAACATTAACATTCAAAAGTTCAAACAAAACCCAAATAACTTATCGGTTCAGACATTAATGAGCAATGTAGAGGAACAAAGGGGGGGAAAAAACTACTCAAGTATTTTACACTCTTAAGCAAAATATGCCTTACAAGCACATACACACACTTCCTTCTTCGCGTTCTGTTAGTGAATTTGAATTCAGCCAGTTGTTCGAGACAGCAATTTGCAACTGAACCGGTAGACCTTCTACAGGATCATAATACGTAAAAATTAAAAGCCAACACATCTATTCTTGTCCCAGAATCATAGGATATTTTCTTCGTTTCTATGCACTGCTATTTAGCAAAGCATTAAAAGGTCTGCATTTTCAATAAAATCATAAAGTATGTCGAGTTGGAAGGGACCCATAAGGATGATCGAGTCCAAATCCCTGCTCCTTGTAGAACTACCTAAAACTAAACCATATGACTAAGAGCATCATCTAGATACCCCTTGAACTCTGGACAGGCTTAGGTGCCATGACTGCTTCCCTGGGGAGCCTCAATAATAGCTGATAAACTGATGAAGAAAGAACCATAAATTGCACGCAGGAAATTATAAACCAGCTTTAATCTTGGACGTTCTCAGGAAAATAGAGGGATATAAAACTCACTACCATTTATAAAAGCATATTGCAAAACATGAGATGTGGTTCTGCTTTTCCACCTGTTCCGAACGAATCCCCAAGGGGGATGCACTTCCATTGCATAAAAAAATATAGAGAGAAATTCTATAAAGTTGTATATTTTCCTGACAAATCCATCATTACAGCATTCCATTCTGAAAAGATTCGACTGTTTGGGAGAACATTTAGATCTGCTGCTCCACACCAGTAACATTGTTCTTTGGCTCTACAAAACCTCAGCGTAGCAAATTTACTAAACATGTAACTGTGGAGAAAGCTCTTTTCAGAAGTGTCATATGTAACAGAAGAAGTGGAAACATCTGTGAGTTACTAGCCCTAAGGAACCAGAGAGAACTGGCAATGCAGTATGAAGAGCCATCCTGCCCCTCTTGCAATACATCAATAATTACGGCCGAGCTGCACCATACTGTGTTTGTTACCCAAAGATGAGACAGATGAGGGGGAAAGACAACTTCAGAAGGAATCTCAGTCAACTGCTGCCCATGAGGCTTATCTTAGATGCCACCTGCCATAACAAAGTGCTAGCCAGAGTCTCAAGACAGACACATGGCAATTACAGTTTGGGGACCTTACATAAACCCCTTTGAATTGAAATTGGGGAGGTTTAGATTAGATATCAGGAAGAAATTCTTCCTGGAGAGGGCGGGGAGGCCCTGGGACAGGTTGCCCAGAGAAGCTGTGGATGCCCCATCCCTGGAAGGGTCCAAGGCCAGGCTGGATGAGGCTTGGAGCAACCTGGTCTAGTGGAAGGTGTCCCTGCCCATGGCAGGGGGGTTGGAACTAGATGGTCTTTAAGGTCCCTTCCAACCCAAACCATTCTGTGATTCTGTGATAAACAGTAACAAACGTATTTATCATGACCTTGCAATGGTACTTCAATCACAGCTCTGTGACATCCGCTGAGCAGATTAGATTCTAAAAATAATTGATGCTTCTATGCCGGCCTACTCAATGAGCAAATAGCCTCCCTCCAGTTTCTCTTAGTGCTGAAAGTATTTCCTCTAGCAAAATATACTCAGGGAAGAATTTCTGTTTAGAAACCATATGAAAGGAAAAAACCAAATGTCTGCAGCATAAGACAGGTCATGAGTAAAGGTCGTTATGTATTATTTTTATGAATGCATGTATGCCTGTAAAGGACGGGGAATCAACATCAGCCCAGGTACATAAAGATCACAAGTCATAACTGCCCTGATTTTAGATGAGTTCAAAGTTCTGTGCTGACAGGCACACAGCCTTGTGCATCATAACAGACACTCTGACCGTATCATAAAGGACTAGGTGGAAAACGAACCATAAAAGTAATTCTTGCACTTTAATAGTTGTTCTGTCTCTTTATGAGCATTTAATCTCTTTCAGATCTGAAGCTATTTAGCTGAAAAATGACTACCTTCCCATCTGAAAATCTTCCAGTTAACCATCACAATGCTTTCAAGTGGTCACCCAGCCTTAGCCCTCTGAAAGCTTCCAAAATTACTTTTAAAACAGACAGTAAATGGGGGAAATGAATCGTGTGTTTACTGCTCCTGTTTTACAGAGACATCACAAATTGAGTACCAGTATTTGCACATACCATTTCCTTGTGATTTGGATAGAATGTTTGCTCAATTAAAGGGAACTTCTCTGGACCCAAAGTTTTGTAGACAGACACCAGCTGGGCAAACTGTAAAATAAAGCAAAACAAAAGAAAAAGCTGAGGAGAGAAAGCACGTTGTACCAAAATGATCTCATACTGTCATTTTGCTCCTTGTCTTTCATAAACTCAGCAAATACACATGCACATTACCCACTTCTGCTCTCTTTCTCACATGCTCACCTTTATAATCCACCCAAGCTATAATTTTATATACAGAGCAACAAAGAAAAATTCCTTTAAGAGTTAAGCTTTCACAGGTACAGCAAATGAAATACATTGAAATACAAGTTTTCAGGTATCTCAGAGCCCATATATTTTGTGCTGATTTTGTGATAATAAAATCATTATAATTTTGTATTTTCTACCACCTTTAATCTAAAGAGCAGACATATTTCACATTAATTTAGCCCCTGGCACCTCACTGACATTGAAAAGCAATTCTGCAAAACTGGAAAACAGGGAAAAGCAATAGCTATATCATATGTAACAAGTCAGGTGAAGAACCAACAAGAGAATTTTAATTTCCTAGGCTCTAGCCATGTACCACAGCCACACAGAGGCAGTGGAAGAATGGCCGACCAACGAAGACGATGATAATTTAAACAGTTACATGTTATTGCCATTTTTATTAATGTTTTATTTTTGGGCCCTTTCTCCGACACATCCAGTCTACCCCTATGCTAGACTGTAGTAATTTAACACAGGAAGCAAAACAACATTTAAACACAAAAAGACAAATAATTCTTTAATAAACAGAAATGTATTTTGGGGCTATTCTTTCTCTTTAGTGAACAGATCAGCTCTTTTGCTGTAACAGTTCAAAAACTAAATCACTCCTGAAATCGCGGCTTAGCTAGTGAGGTTTCTAGGGAGCAGGATGACTTTGGCAGTCAGAAGACCACTATTGTTTCAAGACTCCAAAGCTCGGGCTTGTACATGCCTCTGATGTGTTTAATTGTCATTATGCCAACATCAGACATAAACAACTTAGCACAACAGTTTGAATAGTGGGGTTTGCTGGTTACAAACAGAAAAAAGGAAAGAACAATAGAACTCTGTCCATAATGCAGTTTGATCAAATACCTACTCTGTTAATGCCATTTAGGGCGCAGGGATAGTCAAAACTGCCTAAAGGGAAAAAAAATTATGAAAGCTTTGCATCGCATTTCCAGCTGGCATGGAAAATGTATTTAATTTAGTGGTATTTACTTAGGTTTGGTAAAATGTATATTTAAACTTGGAAGTCCAGTGGAAAATACCTTAATGATGAGTAGGTTTCACCAAAAGCTTAAGAAATTCTAGTCGGATAGTGTGCTGTAAAAAACAGACTTCGAGGAAAGGAAATATTATCACAGCTACCAAAATAAGGTGGTTTGTGAATAGGATTCCTGACAACTTGCTATTTGTTTCTGTTCTTAGCCAAGATCCAAATTAAAATTTCATAACAGACTCCTGCCTATTAAATACATGATTTTTTTGCCACAAACACTTGTTATGTTAAAATAAATTTATCTATCGTTAAGCAAAAACCTTTAAGCAAAATCATATGATTGTATTTCCTGTGATTATTGCCTTATTTTCTTTTCCATTTTCACTGACAGCAAGCATCACAGCGAGAAACTGACACTACTATAATTCGGATTAATACCAGCTAATGTTTGTTTGCTTAAAATAAAATCGTGTCAACCACAGACAATACATGTCTATCACTCAAAGTACCCTCTAATCTTGTAATTAAGCAATCAACTAGCATGTAGGAGAAGTAGGTTTACATTTCCTGAGGCAGAATAATCCTGAGTTATCTGAGAAATAACTCAGATTTCTCCCAGCCAGGGGAATATTTATCCTTTGTCCCTACTGGGACACTGCTCCACCTGTGTCTCTACAAGCTTAGGAATTACTGGTCAAACTTTTCTCCCCCAAAAAGGCAACTTGATAAATTCAACCCCAATTCACATAAAATGTTGGCATTCTAATTGTACCTCCTTAAATTTCTATAAATACTTCTTATTATTCTTGATTCCCACTAGACAATTTATGAAAAAGAATTTAATTTATCTTTTAACAAGCTCCTATCAATTTTTAAGTGTGATCTAGACTTTACCTTTTTATATTTTCCTTTTGAGCAGCAGAAACAAAGAAACATGTTATACACAGTGAAGCGAAAGACCACCTCTGAAAACCCTGTTGTATCTGGACAGTTTGGAAGCTATACATAGCTTAGAAATAGGCTGAACCACACTGCCTTTCTATCCACGCCAGGACAGGTCTGCTGGAAACTACACCAACAGGTTTGATAGAACTTTTTTTAGGTCTTATTAAAAAAAAGAGAGATGACCATATTAATGCTTTGCTTTGATTAGAATTTTGAAAATGTTTTGGTTCACTGGGCTAGCTAATACGACCTTATAGTACATCTTCAAATCACAGTAAAGTTTCTCAAATTCTTATCTGGGAAGGAGAATCATCTTTTCAGATGATAAACTAGTCAATTATTATCTAATTAAATGCTGAATGTTTTCAGGTATGGAAGGTTCATGAAATAGAGAGGCACTCTGTATTTAAATAAAGTATTTTATATGGATGCCAAAAACCTTGGGAAATTTTAACAATTACCTAAAAAAAACCCCACCTCATAGAGCTTATTATTTCAAATTTTCAACATCTTAAGAAAAAACCCCAAGAAATAAGCTTTTTTAGCTCTTGCTTTAAGTAGCCAAATTTACTTCTCATTTTCAAATACTGTAGCTCATTTTCAGCTCGAAGAGAGGTATTCTCAGGTACATGCATTTATGGTTTTCAGATTATTCAGGAAAATAGTGGGATTTTGTACTATTCTTTATAATGTCAGCTCTCCTCTTTTCAACTAGGGACTACATGCTTTCACATCTTGGCCTACTGTTCCTCTATAAAAGAATAGGAGGGCACCAGCTGCATTTGTCTCCTCCCCAACAAAGTATGATACAGATAAGAAGAAATACTTAGGCAAAAAAGACAGTTACTCCCTTTGATTTCACATAAAAGCTTTATGGGGTTTCATTACACTAAGAATGGAACACTGAGAATTTGCCTGCACAGAATACACCGTAATCAAGCAGCGCACAGGTATAAAAAAGTCACTTTGCCAACTTCATAAAGATTTGAATAATGACTTTGCTTATCCCTTTAGATGAGTTAAAATGTGCTTCATTACGTGCACATCATCCCTGAAATGCTCGGATTTTTTCCTGAACAAACTGCACAAACTTTTTCCTCTAAGATAATTAGATATGATATTTAGAATTAATTACTCCAGGTGGTGCTTTGTGTTACCTTTAATTCCAGAAAACTTCTAACCCCTCTCGGCAGACTGAAGGATATGTATCATTGTCCATCCCAGGGGAGAGTTTCCTGCTATGCTGAATAAGACTTCCATGCAAGCAGCTACTTCACATTTGCCTGTACAGTTGTTCCCTCTCAGGGAAGAGCCACTGAGCTGTGTATTGTAAAACCTTTCTGCCAGAGACGTTCCCCTACTGTGAGTGTTCATTATCCGTGCTCTTCACAAGGCACGGCTTGCTTCTACTGACAGCAGAACTCCAACAGCCATCACGGTAACAACTACAGCGATCACAACATTCTCTGGCAGATCAGTTGGCATTCTCCAAGACTGGAGAAACGGGAAAACTTGTCATTTAAAAAAAAGATGCTTTTAGCTGAGATTTAACCTATCTTTGACTGCTCTAAGATATGGGCAAACCTACAGAGTGAAGAAATGTAATGCAATGCCAGTTTGCTTCTGGGCATCCATATACAAATATGCCTTTTACCAAAGGTACTGGTATTGGTGGGTGAAATTACTAAAAGAAAATTTCTAATACGAGGTCGACATTCAGTATTGCTGCCAGCTTTCTTTGGAGATGTATTACTTAAAGGCAGATGATACAAAACAGTTTAAAGATCAGATTGTTATGCTGATGAGAACTTTAGACAGAGTAAAAGTTTCATCCTACTGTGCACTTCAATCATTCCTTGTAAGACTCAGAACTGGTGCAAGACAGCTTTCCATGGAAATGCTTTACAGGTTCCTAGTATCCCTCTGTGAAATGCACACTAGAGGAAATTCTGCCTGAATGTGTGTATCAGTAAATGTGAGCACGGATGGGGCCTGAACAACTGCACTTTCCCTTTCAGTACACAAAGGAAGCGCCTCTGAACAACTTGCAGAGGCCTTGTAGGGTCTGTAGGTTATGAAGCTGAAAGATGAGCTGCTGTACATTATAGGCTGGTTACTGTTACATTTCTATTATAGGAAACCAACAAAGAAGACGACACATTGACTTTTTTATCCCCTTTGGATAGCACTGTGAAAAATATCCTGAAGTCTGTTTTTAGGTTGAAATGCCCAGTTTTAAGCTGAGGCTCAGAAATGTGGCTGGTGATTCCAGAAAAAATGTGATTGCCTTCTAAGCGATGTTCAAAAGCACAGACTAAGAACCATTGGCACAATCATATCAGGGGTCCTCCGTGACCAACAGACTGAGACACAGCATTGCAGACCCCGCAGAGGGAGAAGAAATGAAGCAACGGTGTGGCAGAGGCTGGAGGGTACGTTTGACACGTACTCTGTGGGAGTCAATTTACTTTAACCAAGATGTTTCACTAGGGCTGTACTTTAAATACAGTTTCTCTATTTCTGTTTCTGGGGTTTTATATTTTTTTTTTAAATTACTATTACCTGGGAAGTATCTGTGTTACTGTTCATATGCTCTTCAAAATATTCCTTCTGTGTTGTGACTGGCCTGCGTTTCTTCTATTTAGTAAACATTAAATACTTTTCCAGAAGGCTGAGCACATACACGTTTGATTTGCTATTTGACACCTAATATGAGAATCAAGGGGAACAGACTGCTGACCGTAGCTTACGTAGCTCTTTCTGTCAGCAGGAGCCGACAGACAACTTAATGAAAGTATTCAAACTTTCATAGTCAATTCAAAGTTTGACATGGCAACTGAACAATGAAACATCGCCTACAAATCAGTTTGGG